AGGCTGGCCTCGAACTCACAGAAATCCGCCTGGCTCTGCCTCCCGAGTGCTGGGATTAAAGGCGTGCGCCACCACCGCCCGGCAAGGAACAGTTTTCTGATAGGGTAGTGGGAGATGATGTCAACATTCTGTTCTAGAAATAATAAATTTGAGGTATTTTAAGGCATTCAATATTTCACATTTTTGTGATGATTATATAACATATATAAATATACATATTATTTTTGGAGCTTACATTTTGAAAAAAAACTAGTGAAGTTGTAGCATATCCAAATGTACCAAGCCAGGGGATACTTTATTTATTCAAATAAAGGCTTGGCAATCTCTCCTTAAAAAGTCACTGAGGAGAGCTAATATACAAGACCAAATAACTCCACCCTAAAAACAAGCAGTTGTAAAATTCACAAGTAAAAGTGATGTCTGAAATGTGTTCCCAAGGATTACCAATGGTATGCATCCATGAGTGGACCTTTACACAAGTGTCATCTATCACCCACACAGACAAAACAGTTTGCAAGAGAAAAATCAACGGAATTGCACAGCTATCCTTCAAGTATAGGGAAGAGATGCTGACCATGTGGTCAATATACAGAGACAACTGTAATTTGACTTTCTCTGAAGTTTCAGTGCACAGGGAATCCAGTGACTATGGGAGGGCGGTTATTAAGTAGACTATGGCAAAACAGAGTAATGGTGATGCTCAATAACCTGTGCTCTAATTTTAGTCCCGCCACTTACTTGGGTAACTTTCCTCAAGCTCGGTAACATCTCTATGCTTCAGATATACATGCTTCTGTTCCATAAAACAGGCATAGCGCCTCTTTCCTCCCCAACTGTGGATGCTCAGACCCCTCCCTAGTAAACATGTGGCATGGTTATCTCTATGTTGAAGGCTGCTTCTAATGGAGTAAAACGTGCAACATGCTCACACTCTCCTCTTAGGATAGTCCTTGGGAATAAATAAGCCACCATGCATAAAGTGCATAAAGTGAACATGCAAACAGGCAGAAGAACGTAAGGGTAGGCGGTTATTATTGCAGTAGCCTTCTTAGGAGGCTTCCAACTTCTGCAGTAATCTTTACTCTCCCAATCATTTGAAGTTAATAAAATTAATTGCCATGTCTTCGGTGATGAGATAGGAAAGGAAGTTGTTTTGAACCTACCATTGCTATTTGGAAGTCACGTAGTCTTGATATCTGGGGCCAGCTACCATTTACTACTTGGCTATACATATATCACTTTCTATTTGCATAGTGAGCTTCTAGGGAGTGTTATTGAGAAAGAAGGGAAGTAAATCATGTTTTCACTAGGTTTGGATTGCATTTATTTGATAAAAAGTTATGACAAGGATCTGAGTTTGTGGGGTCATTTTCTGAGATAAGAGGAAGTCAATGTCCTGAGCTTATTCTGTTCTGTGCAGACACAAACAATTATGGTAACCAGAGGGCTGGATCTTAAGTTCATTTTGTTTATTACATTTTTTTGGTCTGGCTTGTAAATATTTGATATTTATAGACTAAAATGGAGATTGAATTTCCCCCCCAAAGCTAGAGGCTCTAAAACAAAACTCACCCAAAGGCTACTGCTCACAGTGACTGGTGCAAGGCCTCATGTCTAAATCTGAAAACAAGCATCGCCCCAGACAGTCAGATTATACATTAGATAGGGCCCCATCCCAGCATGTCAGGAGAGAGACTGGACAAGTGCAAGGTGGCTGAGAAGTAGAGACTATGGCTGGTAGAGGAGATATCTGAGTTTTAACCTAATTTCTCAAAGAATATTAATTGTACAATTTGGTTTAAACAATGTATAAAACATATTCCTTTCTCCTTCTTCTAATTCAGAGCCCTCAAATTTACCATCCCATTCTACTATATTTGTCTAATATTTTTGTGCTGTGCACAATTTGAGAAATAATCGCCCAAGTGGCAACCTGTTTAGTGAAAATTCTGTGCTGTTTGCTTCTTATCTACATCTGAAGCCCTTGAGACCCCACGATTCTATCCATGACAGTCGGGGCACAGATCTCCACCGCAGAAGGCACCTCACTTCATGACAAGTTGAATAGGTTGGAAGTGGACAGCATGAAGTTTTAGTATATCAATAATGTCTGCCCATTTCACTTCCCTAACACATTTCACCTCCTTATTCACTGTCAGCTTTAGGGAAAATGGTCCATTATTTCACCTATTTCATGGTAGAGGTCCATAGCTTCTGCCTCCAACCACGTAGAATTCATGTTCATAGGATCACCTATGTAGTCTTTATAGACCACAAAATATTCATGCAGAATCATCTGCACAGTTGTTTCTTTAGCTCCTATCTCTGTAAAGAGTATGTATTTTTATCACCGAACTTCCTCTTCAATGTTGTAACTGAGCCCTCTTGAAGCCCTCTTCTCCATCTCCCTTACTCATTCTCCACTGTCTGTCTTTTTGATGGCTACAAATTGCAAAGTATTATTTTCCCTGGAAACAAGATAGATCATTGCATTTCCTTAGCTATTCCTTCTCTGCTAGATTAGATTGTATTAGCTGTAAGACTGGGATCCCAAGGCCTCAGAAGTCATGCCCTGTGGGTCCTAGAGGACTTCAGAGTCCATCATTTTCAACCTCATACAAGCCATTCTGACCCCTTCTCTCCATGTGCCTACCATATTTACTAAATTTAGGATAGACATTCCTTTCATATACCAAGATTCCTGCCCAAGACAGAGCAGGCAGTGTACACTACAGGGTTAGAGTCACATTGTCTCCACTCAACCAGACAGCTCACTTTCTTGTTGAAGACCCAGCTTTGCTCTACTTTAGAGGTAGGGTATTGAGATGTCCCAGATTTCTTCTGTGTGGAGGGGAATCTAAGCAATGACAGTTGAACCCGATATAACAAAGTTTAGAAAAAAACCCACATGAAGAATGCTGGGCAACTGCTGGGCCTGACCATTGTAAAGACAAAGACCAAAGAGAGAAAAAAATTATCCAAGTTGGCCAGGAATCATCCAGCCACCCACAACCCTGTGATGTGTAAGAATTTGGGCTGCTGTCTCTTGGAGTGCAACCACAATTACAGATCCAAGGACCCCCGTGGATGGTGACCAAGTTTTCCTCCAAAAGCCCCATGAGAGCTAGGCATTCCTAATGAGATCTTGGTGCTTCTAATCACCTCCTGGAACACCAGAACCATTCCTAGATTTAACTGCACCCAACGTGACCAGGAGCGCACAGGGACACAGGGACCCCAGTTCTGTTTCATCTCAACCCTCTGGGTCTTACAGTCTTTCTTCCCTGTCTTCTGAAATGTTCCCTGATCAGGAGTTGTTTTGTAGACGCAGTCTTTGGAACTAGGCCCCACAAATCTGCAATTTGATTGACTGTGGTTTTCTGTAATGAGCTCTGCCTGCTGCAGAGAGGAGAGGTGAGATAACACTTATTTATGGGCATAAGGATGGATATTTAGAATGTAGTTAGGACTTATGCTGGAAGTAAAAAACTAAAAAATTTTAAAAGGAAAATGATTGTATCATGGAGATAGTTTCAAAACGTGGGTCCATCATTTCCTGCCTGAATGGTTTGGCCAAATTGCTTAACTCCTTTTCCAAATGCCAGGTGACATGCCAATCACTGAGAGCTGGACCAGGAAGCCACTGCTTTTAGACATTTCTTTAAAAACAAACCAACAGTGGAAAGGCAGTACAGATGGGAGCTAAACAAAAGTTCCAGTCCTGGCTCCAATCCTGTTCATCCCCCTTCCCATAAACGTGGGAGCTTCTTGGGCAAGGTTACTTAAGTTCTCTTCACGTTTCCCTGTATGTAAAGCAGACATACTATAATACTTGCTTATAAGATTGTGGTAATATCCAGGTGGTGGTGGTGCATGCCTTTAATGCCAGCACTTGAGAGGCAGAACCAGGTGGATCTCTGTAAGTTTGAGCCAAGCCTGGTCTACAGAGCGAGATCTAGGACAGGCACCAAAACTACACAGAGAAACGCTGTCTCGAAAAACAAACAAAACAAAACAAAACAAAAGATTGTGGTAATGATTAGGTGGGGCATTACTTGCAAAGCTATTAACACAATACGTGGTCCACAGTGCACATTTAATAAGAGCTAGTTGTCATTGTTGTAGTTAATCAAGTTTTAAAAAAAAAAAACCCAAAAACACACAAGTCTGAACTGAAAACTGAATGACTAGAACAGGTTAGCTGAAGTGATTACGGGAACTGTGCAGCTCATGTGTGAGACCTGGCTTAAATAGCCTATGACTTCTCTGATGGAGAAATTCCAAACCAAGGAATAATAGCATCTAAGTTCTGAAATGATAACTGAAGAGAGGAGACACAGTTTCATTCACTGCACTGAAGAAGAAAAAAAAATCCTTGGGCCAATTATCTTATCATCTGGAACAGCTAGTTTTAGAACAAATTGAGTATATGCAATTTGTTTAATTGAAACCCAAAGAATAACACTTTCAAAGTTGGTTCTATATGACACCAATCCTTTAGAAACACATCTAAGAGATATTGATTTAAGATCAAAAATATTCACATAATTCTATATAGTTAATGTCCTTCCTACTTACAAATCCGATTCACATCAGTATTTTAAAGACACGTAGAATTCTTCCAGAAGCAAGGCAAATCAACCCTAAACCAGGGTTTTGTTTCATTTGATATTTTCCAAACTATTTGGCCAGGGACTGTTCTTTTCAATAACTGGTCAAATTTAGGAACACACTTCCTCAGATCTAGAAAGGTTTCAGAGGCTGTGTCTGTGCCTCTGCCTCTACTGGAGAGTAGAGATTTCCATCTGAAGTCATTTTAAGTCATCATCATTGTGACCATAGACGGCAGCTACTAAATCACCACCTCGTGCCTCATAAAGAATCCCAAACTGGATGCACCATTCTGAAAGCCTCGACAGTCAGAAATAACTGGGATTATAAGAACAAAACAGTGGGAAAGAGCTGAGAACACAGGAATAGGAGACCTTGTCATAACTCACCATCACTGCCATCAACATTGTTGAGATTGTACTGTGCAGCAGACACTTCAGCAAGGACCCCTAGGAAAGAAATAGGATCATCAAATGATACAACCCAGTTCTTCACCACTCTTATCTGCCTGTGCATGATTTTTTCATTCCTGAAATTCCTATCCCTCTGGAAATATGTATTTAAAAAAAAACAAAACAAAACACTAATATGAAAACTTTACCATTTTGGGAGAAGGTACTTATACATTTTACATAGTAGTATTTTCAGGTGTCCTAACTCAACTCATAAAGAAGAAATGAAGGATATGTCTTAGGATTGCCTCAGGCTTCCTCTTGTTATAGGTCATGTAGCACTCCTCTGATATGTGGCTTCTCTGAGTCTTGGTTTCTCACTATAAAAGGAATGTGTGAGCCTCTGTTATCTACAAAAGTCCTTCCGGCTTTAACATTTTATGATTCTAGGATCTATAAAAATCTCATTATTAGAAGACCAAGGTCAATTTTTGCTATTAATCAAAAAAGCCAGATGTTCAAATATAAACAACCAGATGCTCAGGGAGAGACACACACACACACTACACACACGCGCACACGCACACGCACACACATACGAAGCGAGAGAGTAAGCGAGGCACAGAAAGCCATATACAATGTAGAAATACGAGGCCAAAGAAGAATTCATGGAATACCAGAAATAGGATACTCTGTTTTGGTTTTTAGCATCATTAAAGGGCAAAAGACAGTCAAGTGGGACCATTTCATAACCACAGTGCACAATATACCCCAAGGGAAAGAAATGAAAATACTTCAGAGATTGAAAGAAATATTTGCTGGGAAGCTGGTGGGGAGATTCCCTTTCCTAAGTCATCTGGGGTAGAAGACACAGAGTTAAACACAAGGAGTATTCCATCCCTAAAGCAAGTGCAAGGAATAAACACAAAACAGAAGATACAGGGGAAGACAGAAGGGAAAAGAGAGATCAGGAAATGAGAGGGTCCAGACAGCACAGGATAGCCACCCTTCTTGCCCCTCTGAAAAGCAGAAATAGTCATACCCAGCGCATTTAACCGTGATGTATTCTCCTCTCCCTAGAGTGGTGCTGAGACCCGATTTCAGAAAGAAACCTGAAAGGAGAGCAGGGGGAGGAATTTTTTCTTCACTGTAAGGCTTTACTAATGATAATAAATAAAGGATGTAAAGTGACCCACCATCTATAAGCTCTTTTCAAGAATAAGACTGTAGGACACAGGTTTGCCCGATTTTGAAGCCTGGCTCAACCACCTCTTAGCTAGGTGACCTTGTTTTATAATTCCTCCAGGCCCAAGTTTCTCATCCAAGAATAGTAATGCCATCTATGTTGTAAGCTTGATACAAGATTATTCATCTGAAGACTTCAAATTCTTGAAAAGTAAGACCTCGATAAATACCATAGACTATTACAACTATTATTTCAAGCACTTTACATTCATTATCCCATTGTTTAATTTTCAAATAATCCTAGGAGTTAGGCACATATACTAATATCACCAGCTACCATCCAAGACCCCACAGTTCATGGAAGTTAAGTGTGTCCAAGGTCACACGGCTCGTCACTAACATATTTCAGAACTGGAATGGTTTAGCATTCATAAAGGCACAGTTTATTGAAGGTTTAAATTCATGTTTAAATTTCATTTTATATGGCAAATAGTGCTATTTTCATTAATATATAAAGTTGGGTTATGTTAAAATTGTTCTGCTAGGGTCACTGTGTAAGAAAAAGGGGTGGGAGAAAGCAAAGCCATAACCATTGTTCTAATACAACTGGAAAGTAAAGATGTCCTCAGTTATGGTCTAGTTCAGACCAAGAGGACAACTAAGGGAGACAAACTGAAGTGGGTGTGGAGGCATAAAGAGGAGGAGTCAAAGATCGCCAACTTCAAAGGGCTCCAGTGGTTGGTAGTGACAGGTGGGAGTGGGGAATTGGGGAAGGGTTTGGGCAATGTGGTTCATCCAGGTATGTTTCAAAGATGCCTGGTAAGTATGTGGAGAGTGAGTGTGTGCTTTGCGAATGCAAGATTTTGCCACTATTACCACTACTTGTTTTACACTTATTATTTACTCTGTGTGTGTGTGTTGTGTGTGTGTGTGTGTGTGTGTTCATGGGTGTGTACATGTCTGCACACACAGAGGCATGCCACAGCTTGCATGGGGAAGTTAGAGGACGATTTGTGGGAGTCAGTTCTCTCCTTGCACCATATGGGTCCCAGGGATTCCACTGGAGTCATAACACTTGGTGGCAAAGCATTTTTGCCCATTGAGCTATCCTGCTGCTCTCAGTTTTTGTGTCAGTTTCCTTTAATGAAATGAGGAGCTGATCTAGAACTAAGCCTTTTGCTCCCTTCCAACTTCCTAGAAAAGGCAAGTCAGTGAAGCTGGGAAAATGGACGGTCGCTTTTAGAGATCAAATATTGAATTATAAATTTGTTTTCAAGTAAGAAAGAAAAGTGGAACAATTACTGACTTTTTAAGATTAAGGAAAATGTGTCTTTTAAGAACTGACTTTGACAGGATAATATAGCCACACATAGAACTGAGCAACCTATATATTAATTAAAGCAAAGCATATAACGGTAGTAGTTAAGTAGCCTTTACTTTTGGATAAGGTTTAGTTTGTATTGTGTGGTTTGAAGGTGTTACAAAAAAGTCCAATGGCTAAAAATTGCCTTCCCAACCCTCTTAAAATATTGCTTCAATTTACAACGTTAAAATTAATTTCTTCAAATGTTCTTTATATTGTAGATTGCACACTTATCCCACACTCAGAAACTACATGTTTTCTGATAAATTAGTGGAATAGAGTACAATCTAGCCGTTACAGTCACCCAAGGAGACCATGTTTTGAAGGGTCGGGAAGAGATTCCTTCAGAGTGCATGCCGCTGAGCTAGGTTCTTGAGATAAAAGGTCAAATGCTTCATTGTCTCAAGATGCTTATGTCCTGAGAGCAGGCTACATAATACTTGTGGGTCTAGGGGAAATTTGAAGGGTAGAATCAGGGACTAAGAAAGGAAGAAGGTAATATATAATAGACTGGACATTCTGAAGGCTTTTTCATGCTCCCAGTGAATCTCCTACAGACCTTCCATTTTAAGCTGATAGGCTTGATATTACATGAGCTTAGAGTACTATAAATCTAATTCAATGACTTTGAGTTTTCTGAAATTTAAATTACTTAAGTTTTACTATATCAGAACTTGGAGACTACTGTTGATGATGAAATGTCCACAACTAATTTTTATGCTCCCTACCTCCTCCTGGAATTTTTCAGTATGCTAGGGCAGCCAGGGATGAGGAAACAGAAAGGATTAGAGCTAGACATACAACCGAGACCTTTTTTGGTTGTCGTTTTGCTTTTTGAGACAACATCTCACTACATAGCCCTGGCTGTCCTGAAACTCATCATGTAGACCAGGCTGACCCTGAACATGTGGAGATTCACCTGTCTCTACCTTTCAAGTGCTGGGATTAAAGGTGTGTGCCACCATGCCTGGCTGGGACCTTCTTTAAACAGCAAACTAACAGAGTGTTGTGTTTTCGCAGATAGCATCAAGCAGGTACTATAAGTTAGAACTCCCAGTATCAGAAATGCTCAATCTGGGCTTTAGAAGCTTGAGTGAGGCTCATTCTGGTTCAGGCATCTTCTAGCTTGGTGGCATGGGACGCATAATAATATGCATGTATGTTTTTTGAGTACTACCTCTCAGGCACTGTGCTCCATACTCATAATGCAGAATATCTGTGAACTCTCAGATTTCATCTGTTGAAATTCTCATCCTCAGGGTGATGGTACTGTAGGTGAGGCTTTTGGAAGGAGCTTTAGGTGGCAATGGTGGAGTCTGTAAGAATGGGATGAGTGCTCTCATGAAAAGGATCCTGGTAGCTGGGAGGTGGTGGCACACATCTTTGATTCCAGCACTCGAGAGGCAGAGGCAGGCAGATCTGTTAGTTTGAGGCCAGTCTGGTATACAGAGTGAGTTCCAGGCCAGCCAGGGCTACATAGAGAAATCTTGTCCTGAAAAAAACCAACCAATCAATCAACCAACCAACCAAACAAACAAACAAAGTAAACCCAAAAACCACAAAAGAAAGAAAACTTAAGTCTCTCACTCACCCTCTTTCCACTGCCAAGATGCAAGGAGTTGACCAATTGCATTCCTGAAAAGAGGTGTATTCTCACAGAACTCGGGCCTCAACAGCACCCTGGTGTCAGACTTCTGCCTCTAGAACTGTGAGAAACAAATATTTGTTGTTTAAGCTACTTACTCTACAGCTGTTTTTGTTGTTGTCCAAACTGACTATAGATTGTTTTATATATAATATTTAATTTTCACAAAAGCCACTGAAGTAGATGATATTATTTTCCCTACTGTGTTGAGAAAGAAATTTAATCACATGTAAGTTCAACGTCATACAACCCAGCATTTATCAAAGAAGGGATTTGAATATGGGTAGACTTTAATGGCTGTGTTTAATCAGCTTAACATTCAGACACCCAAATCTTGCAGGCTGTAGTTCTCCTACTTTAAAACATTTGGTCTAGACAGTGTTAGTACCTCTTTGCAGCCGGCCTTAAAACACTAGGGTTCGAATACTATGGACCATACATATATTTAGGATTTAATCTGTGTTTCTGAACGCACCACTGTGGGGAACTGTGATATAAAGATAACTTTCTGAAACATGCCCTAATTTGTTAGCCTTCCTTTGCATTTCAGCGGGGTCAGATCATAGTATCCACTCTTCCACCAAAAGTGCTCTTCCTTCATCAATTTTCAGCTTTTCAATTTTATCTGTCCTTCAAAAACCAGAATGCTAGCTCCTCTGTGTAGCCGTTGTGAATCTTTGGAGGTTTAAAACGATGTACTGGACTGTTGGAATTTGGGGTTCAGGGAAGTGCTTCTGATAATGAGAGGAAAGCACCAAGGATAAGAATGTGAGGAGGGAACCCCCCAGCACGAACAGGAAGAGGACCGTTGCCAGTGTCTAGTGACCTGTGTAAACAAAGTCTCCTTTGCGACAGATGATAGGCAAGCCACCGAATCATATCCAGTGGTGCTGGACCAATGAGGGTATGGTGAAGAAGAAGCAAGATAACATGTACGAACTGTCTAGCACTGTGTGTGGAAGGGCCACGACACGGCAGTGCCTAAGATGAATGCCTTAATGGGAAGCAGGACAAGGCTTTCATACCAAAGCCTACAGCTGACACGGGGATGGTATGACCAGAACTCAGAGAGGGAGAGTTAGGAGGAGACTTCAGGAAGGAAACACTAAGAGAAAAGTGAGAGGGGCTGAGAAAAGAAAAGCCTCAAGAAGCTGTGATGGGAAAGAGAAGGCTAGAAAGAATGAAAGAAAGATACGTGGGGGAGATCGAAGTGCCAGGGCTAGGAGGGGGACTGCTTGGCCACACTGCAGAAACTGACCTGGAGGATGACTCCCAGAGGCAACCAGGTGCTGCACCCAAGCCTGGGGCACCTGTCACTGTCACTACGCTCTCGGCTTCATTCCCCTTTCCCCAACACCTGTCATGTGTGAGCCTTGTCACATGGGTACTAGCTAGCTTCTGCCTTCTCCACACGGTGACTGAGGAGGTTGAGAAGAAAGGGTGGGAGGAAGGAAGGAGCCTTTGCTCTGAAGGCATCTCCCGGACAAGCTGCACTCTGTGATTTCTGCTCCACTGCTCTGGAGCCCTAGGGAAGGTGCTTTGAGGTGCTATCAATCTCAGGGTGGCCTCACCCTCCCCTGATTGCATTTACAGGTCTTTCAATGTGTTTGTAACTAATGTGGATTATTTAGAAAACGTTCATCTGATGCTCCTCCAGAGCTCAGCTGTTTTCCCAATGGAAAGAAATCCAGAGAAATCTAGAAATCTAGAGAAAGAAATCCAGCCATCCCAGGAGTCAAGCAGGACTAGGGTCCATCCCATGACATATTCGAAGTAGTGTTTGATCAGAGATGAATCCATGTATTTCACCGGGACTGGAGGGCTCTTGGTGTCCCTAATCATCTGTAAAATGATTGAATTTGTGTCTGTTGCTTCATGATTTATGTACTTTATTCACTTTGGCCACCATGGGCCTTGCCTTAAGGAACTTTCCTACAGTACTCAGTCACATTCCACGCAGGGCTGTTGTGACTTTAGAGGCATAGTTAGATGTGGGGAGTGAATACAGAGGCAGGAAACACAGAGGACACGCGTGGATTTGAAGCATTTGCTTTTGACAAGATGAGGTGTGTGCTCTCAGTTCTTCAGACTCAAAGTTCTCCGGACCCAGCTGAATGGCAGACACTAAGACAACACGGGATTTTTTTCGGTTTCATTTCTCCCAGTTGCTGGAGCCCTGTTGAAACTTGGCCACTTTCCTTAAGAAATCTACCGAATGGGCGGGGAGGCGTGCACAGCATAGGTAGATGACTGATCCCTAAATCAGGCTGATGTCAGTCGCCAGGGAGTCCAGAAGACTAAATACAAATAAATGATGGAAGGAAGAAAGCGAGCTGAGTCTGGGAGCAGTTGCACAGGTACAGGGAACCCTGGAGCTCTCCCTCCAACTGAGAACAGTACAGGATCCAGGGAATGCAAATCTACCAAACCATTCAAGGCGTGGTATTCAGGCATAGGTTCTGAGGTGACAGTTGGATAGTAAAGAGGAAGCTGAAGCTGTGGAGGTCTGGCCGTGAAGGAAGCTGAGACCATGCGAAGCCCTCAGAGGATGCTCAGCACCGGGGTGAGGAGGTCACTTCTGGGAGGACAACTTTTGAATGTCCTGTGAAGGTGTGCGATTAAAAGCAGGGGAGTGGGAGGCAGGGAAAAGAAAAAAAAAACTGCGAGCGCCCACGGTCAGTTTCTACAAGAAGCCTCGACTTGACCAAAGACATACTGATATTTGAGTTGCTTTTCTATCTGCTCAAGGGCAAGCTTCCTGTGGGAGTGGGGGTGGGGGTGGAGGGGATGGAGTGGGGTATCTAATCAGCCGCTGGAGCCTAAGCAGCCTCCAAGCCAGAGAAGTTTCAAGTTTCTCCTTGCCAAGGTCGCACCACTACAGGTGGGCTACTCCAAGCCCCGGGCGCCCGCTTCGCTCCACGCCCACCCTGCCCGCCGCCCCGACCGTCCCCCTCCAGGCCGGGGCACTGCGGTGGGCTGTGCCCGGCAGGCGCTCCAGGAGCTACGCAGCGGCAGCGGCGGCTGCTCCAGAAGGCCTGGCGGGCGGCGACGAGAGGCTGTGCCCCAGTTTGTGTCCAATCAGGGAGTGCGGGCTGTGCCCCGAGCCGGGCAGCAATGCGTAAACAAACCCTCTGGCAACTCCT